ATCGAGCACATAATTTCTTGCCTTTCGCCACTGTTGTCCTAGTACGCTCTGCTCTGACTGAGATAGTTTATCCAGTAACAGAACTCCCTGATCTTTTTCCCTTTAACAAAGCTGTTTTGGTTTTCGTAACCTTGCGCAAAAGAACGCGCAAATCAAACTAACTGTCAAGTGTCGTTGCTTTCTACGATACGTTATTTTTCCAGATAGCGGGAGTCCTTGTTATATGTTTCTTAGCCTTTGGTGGCTCGCAGGGATATTTGTTCTTTAGGTATATGTTGGTGACAAGTATGCGTTTGATCATGAAAAAAAAATAAAAGCCACTACCTCACACCTCAATAAGGACTCAAAGAGTCTTCTGCTGGATCGCTACAGAACGGTAAGAGCAGGACTTAGCGCTACAATAACCGTTTTCAGCAGCGGCGTTGCCGCCCTAAAACTGTCGTCGATTAGTGATAGTAGGTGACGGTGGCTCTGGTTGTTGGGCAAGGTGCAAGTTGTGCTTGGCGAGCTATTTTGTCTGTTTACGTTTCGGACCGCCTGCGCTAAACGCGTTCAAGCAAACATATACTTCCACCATCAGTCTATGACTTTACTTCCATGCCACGTTGAATAGGTAGCAGCACACAGCATCTTGCCTCGCCCTCCTTCTTGCTGGCTGCCCTTCGCTAGCGACAATTCTTTATAGCACCAGCAAGAAGCAGAAGCGTCCACGACAGATGCGTGTGTGAGAATTTGTTGACAGAAACATGCAGCGATGTAGCTAGGACGCGACAGCTGGTCGTCAACGGCCCCTCGATGAACATCAGCATCAGTAGCACAGTAGCGGCTTCGACATCTAAAGTAGCCTACAGCAGCAGAAATTGTAGGCGAACAAATGTTATAGAAGGCAGAGACGATTTAAACAGCATGAGGGGTGTGGTTTAGCCTGAACGAGGCAAATGCAGACGATCCAAGATGGGTTGGATTTCTGGTCTGTGTAGCCGTACCAGGGGCGTCGATTCTGGTGTGATTCGAAGATGAAGGTCGTCGACGAGAAAACATATCGCATTAGCATGCGAATGTTCATGGTGACGACCAGTACACGAAATTGCTTGGTGGTATTACGTGGGTACAACGAACGCTGAATGATGGAAGAAAATGGTGGATTTAAGGTAGAGCAAACTAACAAGGGAAAACACCTTTGCTATAGGATAAACGGGAAAGAGAAACTCCAACGAAACGAACGTCTACATGGGAAAAATGTAGCTATACATCTATTGTTGAATACGACTGATTAATTTAGGTTGTTCTATTACTTAATTCAGCTTGACCCAACTTGCATGGAAACTTTTTGTACAGGAAACGTTTGAAGTAGAGAAAAACTGATAATTAATAATGCTCACTGGCAGAAGACACAGTGGAAACTACGGAAAACATCTATTTTTATTGATAAATAGTAGTATGCCATATTAACAGATTAACTACAAGTAATGTTGTTTTTCTGCATTCACCAGATAATACAATACATTTAACTGCTACTCTAATGGGATACTAAACCTGTTGCCAGTTTGGAGCCATGTAAGAGATAGCGAGATATTTGTAGATCATAGCTAAGGTCGTGTGATAACTGTGGGCTTGCCATCTTTGTCAGTTTCCATCTGCAACCTGCTATTGCCTAGCCTCCATTTACGTAGAACAATCTTCTTAATAGCTGAAAGAAGCTTAGTAGGAGTTGAAAAAGCAAACAACTCTGCGTTGATAAACACTTGATAGTTATGTTAATAGTTCAATGATCACACCACATCAAATACAGTAGAAAACAAAGCGTACAAATTATTAAAAGATGGAACAGAACGACACAACTACGTATGTTATTGAGGCAACGTTTAGACTCCAGCAAACGTTTGCTCTTGCTCACTAAATAATTTGTATTTTTTCGCGTATTCCTGAGATTAAAGCGCATTCTATCAAGATTAGTTGATATGAAATGGAGGTCGTGGGGGGGGCCACGACACCCGTAGGGAAAGATGTCCTGCTATGCTTTGTCAAAAGAACGATGAGGCTGGACGAAGTGACATAGTCGACAAAATAAATCGAACAGAACAAAAGCCGCTGCTACTTAGAAACAATAGCTTGGGAAAGAGGGTAATGGTCCATGGATAAGGAGCGCCAATAGGAAAGCAATCCGTGTTTTTTAATCTTTTTTTTTTTTCAAGGAGGTGTTGTTGAAAGTGAACGCCATTTCATAGTCCGCAAATGACAGTGAATTATAGGTACCAACTGTTGTAGATAATTAAGGTGTTTGGCCTAGAGTGGTTCGGGGTTTGCTACTGAAAAGACACTGAAGTGCCCACGTGGTTTCGTAGCTGTATAACCTTTATGTGTTATAGATAGCTATAACCCGATTGTAATCTTAATGTAAGTAAAGATGCTAACAAATGACTGATTGTAGCAAATGTAGTACTAATCATCTTCGGATTGTAATCGGCGAACCCCATTGGCAGTTAACGGCAGCGCAACAGTAGTCGCAGCGGCAACAGTAATAGCATTAGTGGGTAGCGAGGGATGACCCAAGTGGGTAAAATGATTCTTAGGAGGCGTGCTAGCAAGTACTGCTATTTTTAGCTGAACTGTACATTTTAGCATTTGTTGCTCTAGTTACTACCATTCTACCTGCTGAAATCCGCCAATTGTGAACAGAGGACAGAAACACACACAGCTCCATACCCCACATAGGCAGCACCCAGTACGGTCAACATCTAGAGCCGAACCTCGGAACCGCTTCGCTGACCAGATGCGACAGCATCATCACCACTCATATTAGACTTAGCTCACCAACCAGCCGACGGCCGGTCAGTCGAAAGTTGCACCTGAACGTTGAAAAAGCGCTTTCCGTGCCTTCAGCGGCAGCGAGGCGGCTGATGCTTTTGGTCTTTTTTTCTGGACAAACATTACCTTTCGACGCTGCTCGATCCCTTGGTATTTCTAGGTGGGTTCGAGAAGCCCATAGCGGGCTAGGGGACTAGTTCGCTTCCATTGGCCGGTGGTAAAAACGACGGGAACGAAGTAGGGGCCAGCTGAAAACTCTATAGGAGGCATGGCGCTTTCCGTATAGGTTTGGATTTTTCGTTGGTTTGGACTCGTTTCTCAGCGCAGAAAGAGTTTCAACACAAGAAACACTAGCAGTACGCACGTCCTTTGTGCTGCCGGGCTTAATAAGCAACAACCGACGTCACTGAGCTGCCGCTGCCAGGTGCTGCTACAGCATTTGTTTGTTTCCGAAGATTCGCTAGCTTCGTAGAACGAACGATGGTGAACTAAAACGCTTCTGCTCCTATTGCTCTGCTACCGGCGCTGGTTGTAGTACTTCTTGAGAAAAGTCAGCACCCCGATTTTCCCATCAACTGCTCCTTGGCTCGAGAGCCACCGTCCCAATGTATGGCCGACGCTTGCTTCTGCCTCTAACCTTCTTACCATTTTTTTTCAAGCTGCACTTTAAGAATCAGCAAAGCAAGCATACACTTTTTCTCCGTCTCAGCTTTTCTTTGCTGCCCTATACGCCACAGCGGATACCCCATTCCACGCTACCGCCACGGCCGCTTCGCCGCTTGTTCCACAAAGACTTCGTTAGCCGCGTCGGAATCGGTTGTATTAAACTTTCTTTGCTGAATTAGTTCCGGCTGCCAGCGCTTCCATGACCGCGGCTGTCGCCTCGTTACCCCTGCCTTTTACCCGTTGCTGTTAGTGGGACGCTCAGTGCTCCACCGGCGGAGATAGCAAGCGCACTTTTTACGACGATATTTTCTTTCGCCAGCTGAAGAGCAGCGTGGGTCTATGGACGTCAGGCAGATGGGCCGCGGGTGAACAAGTCTAAAAATACGGAGGACAAATTTACAAAGGTACAGCACACAGGGTATTGTAGAACCTTGCTTAGGTCATTCCTAGCCATAGCCTTGGTCTCTAGCTATTTTTCGTCCAGAAACAAACGGTACATGTCAGCTCATGTAAAAGCAATGCATGACTTTAATCGTGCGTGCAACGTTTATTGGTGAAATGATTATTCTTATATTTGACGTTACTTAATATATGAGAAGGTAAAGTTGTTCTCATTTTTAAGCTTCTTTGCTATGTTAGTATGTATGGGGGCTTCTACAGACCACGAAAGGCACTCTGGTCAACACAGAACAATCTAGTTCGAAGAGATTGAATTTAGTCAGCCCTCGTTATTCAAATTTGATGGTTAGCCATGCAAGAAATTTTAAGCCACATGAAGCATACGCCATATATGTTGTAAAAAAAAGTCCCCATTAGAGCTTCCGATTAACGGATATCTTATAATTTATAACAACGCATTGTATTATCTTCACGTCTCACGAATACGTGACTTTTTACTACAATAACGTCGGTTTGCTTCATTATATTCGAATCAGCACGCCAATGTTTAAATATTATGTGGGAACAAAAACCAAATCTATGATGAAAAAGCAATAATTTATCCCTTTCTATAACGCCCCTTTCTTCTTTAATTAGTTCTTGCTGCACTTCCACTTTTTTTTAGGACAATTATGTCTCCATTACAAAGAGCACGTTTTTGCTACTAAGAATAATCGGTGACGTTAAGGATGAATGGTGGTGTATATATGTATATATATAGAGGCAAACGAAAACGGTTATATCATTATAAAAATAAATCATATTTAAATGGCTGTCCCGACTATGGTAAGATGGCGCTCGTGGTGGTCGCAGCTGGCGTCACAAATGCGGACCGTCGTGTTGAGAGTAAAAGTAGCGGTACGAAGCAGTCCTTCGTCAGAAACTCCGACTTTCTCACTGAGAGCTTGTTCGGGCGTTTGGAAGAAGATGGAAACAACAGCCAACAGAGTGGCGAAACGACGGCGGTCGTATGTTTGATTTGAATAGCGTCTCTGTGAAGCCTTTTTGATATTAGAAACAAACTCCTCAAACACCTATGAAACGCCAACCTGTGACCATAGGCTCACGGTAAAGCCACTATACTTGTGTGTTCATCGAGCCTCGTCGTTCTTTCGTCGTCGTTGCCATTGTTTTTGTTGTGACGTAACGCAAAGTGCTTTTCTATTGATGGAACTGAAGGCTCAAGAACGCACCGGGGGCATAGTGGAAGGGAACAGCAAAATCGCATATTCCAGCAAAATCGCGTGCGACCGGTATATCCGAGTAACAGATGCAGGAAGGACAAGCTTCAATGCATAGCAGATTTGGCTGGTTTTAGCAAGTTTATCAGCATGTACTAGTTAAGCTGTGCTGTTTCATTTAGCTCCAATATACACAGTGGCTGAAACGAATTTTATATAGCAATGATAATTTTCCTTCCTTGACGTCGCCATAAAAACAATCCGTGTGTGTGCTCGTGGTATTGGTGCACTAAAAATGTTGGTTTCTTGATACCTGTCCGAAAAAGCGCTAACACTATATATATGACGCGTGACGATATTCTGGAGCTGTTCAACTACCTGCAACAATAATCACCGTCGTGAGCATCAGACGCACGGCAGAAACTGGGATAGGGAATAAGCGAAAAATCTAGAATAAAAGAACTGGCGCTTCCACCGTTTCGTTCTCTGCGCCGTCCTCTACGCTCCACAGGGCCTCTAATCATCACTAAACGGTAATGTTATCGATGTGGCTTCACACAAATGAAAGTCGCCATTCATCGTATGCCTAGGACACCGCGTATGTGCGTTCTGTGCGAAATATGCGTGCGTTCATATGCCACTTAAAGGCCCTATAATTAGCTCAGTCGGGACCGAGTTTCCTCCCAGCCACTGCGGTGCGTCGACTCCAACTTTGCCAGTACTGTATACCATTGGACGCGGTACCTCTGTCACTGCTGCGCCTGTGGTGGGACCATTGTGAAAGCAAAAAGGACGTGAGGCAAGGAGGCAGGCAGACGTACAAGAGGGAACTCGTACCCAAACGATGGAAGACGTCGCGGTGTTCGAGCTTGAGTTCCGCCTTCGTCCATCGGCCAGTGACGTTAAATCCATTTGTGAAAGGCTAACTGGCTTCCCGAACTAAAGAGGATTGCTTTCCACTTTTCATGACACATTTCTCCGCCGTCAGCTGCCCCTTTACGCTGCTGCTGGCGGTGCGACGGCACGAGGATGGTGGTTGCTACTGCACCTGGTTCTGGCCCTATGATCCTTCGTGTGCTTTCTTCTATTTTTCTCAACGCAGCGCTAGTCACCCAACTAGGCCTTCTAATTCCCCTTACACGAAGCCTTCTACTGTCCAGATCGCTCGGACGTGCGAAGTCGATGACCCTCGCCGGTCGGAGTGCTCTTGTTTTGCACGCAAAAGCTACTAGCAAAAGCAGAGATATATTACGCGGAGCCTCCGTGGGAGGCTATGGAGAAAGAAATTACACTAAAGCATGCGGATTGTCTTTTCATTTCAAGATATTTGCTTTTCCCTTCACCAACGTCCGACCCCTCGTCGTTACCTCAATCCGTAGCTAACTGCCAGGATAGTCAATTCCATACGGACAAGTCAAGGCATCTGGTGACGGGGGTGTAGCATGATATTTTCGTATGAGAGAAGAGAATTAACGCATTTGCTTTTAAATCATTAATCACCTTTCCGGTAAAGTTTAGAAAAAACGGAAGTGTGTCTATCTATCTGAGTTTCCCAACTGAATTGATACTTTAACAGCAACAACTAGGGTAATGAAATCGTTATAAGTAATCGCATGATAAGGAAAGCTAAAACAGATAATAGAAAAATATTCTTTATTGACAAAATACGGATGAAACGTGTAGCGGATGGGAATGTATGAGTCTTCGTAAATGCCCGTTACACTTACTATTGCACTAATCGGCAGCTCATAGTTGAATATCTATAGATATAGAGCGATGCTGAGCGACATGGGACGCGTGCTAAACGTGGAATAAAACTCAGACAGAAAAACATTAAGTAAACCTGAAATACCATTTGATTTATTTTTTTCTCAAATAAAGATACTGTAAGACATTTTAAGATGGTACTATAACTAATTATCCTGCGTTAGTTTGTCATCGTGATATGATCCTTACATTCGTTAGCAAAAAGCAGCGATATCACCGACCACACTTTTGTACAGCCTGATAGTAGAATCAATGTTTTTTTATATTATTTGTAATAAAACTTGCTGACTGATTCTGTTAATGTAGAGACTAGATCCTACTGTAATCTACTATACAAAGTTACTTGAGTCGTAGTAATGGTGTCTATTCATGAACGCTGGCTTAACTAAGGACCGTTTTTCAACAGTCTCATGAAGCAGTGTCTTAACTTCTCTAAGCATTTAACATTTTGCTTTTAAAAAATATTAACAAAATTTCACACAAAAAGACATCTTCATGTCTGTCCTTTCCATGTTTCACAACTCGAGAATGCCCTAGAAACCGGTTATCTCTAACTGTTCCATAGATGCATAGTTTGCGGGACTTAAGTATAAACTTGCATGATAGTTCGATCATCAGAGAGTTACAGTTATATCAGACGAGCTCGTTTGGGGTCTACATGTTGGTCATTTGAAGCAACCAATGAATCACGGACCAGATATGCTGCTTCTGTAGCGGTAGGAGCGGATGCACGAGGCAATTGAATATGAAATCGAATAATGTGACGTTCATTGATCCGTCCTCCTGTGGAAAATGTTGCACAGTCTGCACTGATGATCAAGGTTTCCGACGTAAGGCATGCGCCATAATAAGATATACAATGGTCTATGTTCTAATCTGAAAGCTAGGGTATACGCCATTAAAAATTCCCAAAAATATAACAAAAAATTGTTCGCTTTCGCATTTGTTTTACCGACTGAGCCACTAATGACCCTCTGAAAAGCTGCTAGATATTTGCGAGCTTTTCGCTCAGGTAACGATTGTTTGATAACAACTGTTTGTTACTTGACCTACCCTAATAAAGCACGGCATGGGATCTATCTTACCTTCAGAAATTCTTGTAGGATGTGCTCCTTCAAGCATACCACTTCAGGATTGGTGCCTTTCTGCAAATGCCAAATATTGTCAAACAGCTTCGGATTGAAGGCAACTTTAGATAACCACTAAGTAATATTGTCCATCCAAATATAATAGATCATACTTCAAAACGCATAGAGAAAGCAAATATACTGTATGATTTTACTGTACATGATACCGATTGTCATTTAGACTCATATCAGGCATAAGCTAACAGTTAGAGCAATTAGTTTTCGAACCTAAATTATAAACAAACGTTAAGGTACGTAACGAAACGTACGTTGCTGGAGAGTTTCCCGGTGGGTACGCACGTGTCGAAAGTGAGACAGAATTTTTCTATTATCTGTGCAAATATATTAATATTAGATTAATAATAGTATTATAGAGAAGTTCCATACGTTTGTCACTAGTGTTCATCGAAACATTGCTGTTAGCTTATTGTAGATTTAAGCAAATCAGATCAATGTATTTGATTGGTTAGTATAACGATTACTTGTAAACATGACTTTTTTTTATACCACTACGAAACTCTGTGTTATATTGCAGTGAAGGTATCGTAACGCTTATATGGGTAAACCTTTTGGACGGCCCTGATTGAGGCACCGAAGTCTATAATCCGATTCACTGTACACAGCACGACATGTGACATTGGCTTCAGCACAGCCATCATCCGACCGTGGTCTGCAGATATACAAACAAAACATAACATCATTACACGGAAATACTGCATGATACAGTAAACATACACTGTCCGAGACAATATGTGTATGTTCAATTCAATTTATATTGACACTAGCTAAAAAACAGGAGAAAGTTTTACGTGAAACACAAATCTACTAATAACGTTTGTACATAACATAGTTTGCGTCACATGTTCTATTAAAGATCTGGTTAACTCGTTCTTCTATCCAGGTTTGGGCTGTTAGATAGTAAGCGAGATTTAAGAAGGCCGTTTTGGTGTCGAATCGGTAATTTTCGATTCGGCATTAAAAACCTTTTTCTGCTTTCGCGTTTTACTGAATAGGACATCAGGTCCGTGAGCCTGGTGTGTAACCTATCCAATTCTGTTATGTGTTACACATTCACATGTGCACAAACTCATATATGTGGGTTAGTTTTGAAAAGGTTTACTGACTTGGCACCGGCCCACATACTCCGATTTCTTCCTCATTTTCGCTGTTTTCTTGCGCAGCTGATGTATATCCTGTGACGTATCCGATTTTATATATTGAATGGAAAAGAAATATCATCCAGGTATTAAATCATGTGCTTGTAAAGTTAGGATCAGTGAGGACAAAAAGTCAAGTGATATAGTTAACTTGTAAATATATTCTAGAAATGCGCACCGCGATCATTAATAGTGTTATAACTCCAAGGTAAACGCAGCCCAAATCTGCATATAAGGGGCTGCTTAAGGCCGAATATACTGCAGTGTGCTGGTAGACACTTTGTTATTGTCACGTTGAGCATCTTACTACCGCAATACTAAACTCCTTTAACGCAATATCTCTACGGTTGGTATATAGGGTACGCTTGCCAAACATCGCAAGGCGCTCGATGTACCTGTACGATACACAGCGCATTATGCTGACGGTTCTGGGAAGTGTCTAATGTTAGGGTTGACGAGCCGAGAAGTCGCTTTTGTTCAATAATATTTTTTTATCTCCGTCGACAGTGTTGCGAAGCATCTAACCCTAGGGACATTGTGGGCGACAAAATTTTATTTCAATTCAAGCCGCAGGGCCATTGGGGGACATGTTATAGCGTTCAAAACAAACCACCCTGGCACTATACTGCAGCTAAACCGGTTCTCAAGCTTTCTCAGAGGATTGGTAAGCGTTCTCATACAGCGCTGTGAACACGGATGCACGGGGCCAGCGTCACGTACCGCTTGCAAACTTAGAAAATCACTTTGTTAGGGTGAGAAACCGGACCGCCCTGGCTAAGTGTCGAGCATGAAAAGATTCATGGGGCTTGCATCAGCGAACGAAGCGCTTCATGTCCTCTTGATGATAGCGGGTTTCTGAAACTAGCCATGGGTTGACAGAAAAGCAACGCAATCGCCTCGTTAAATTATTCATGGGCATATAGGGCTTTCTTCGGGTAGCAGGACAGACTCACCCATACCGATCTTGTGCAGCCCATAGTCCTGACTGGCTATTCACCTCCGATGTGTTCTCAACCACGGAAAGTTGCACCACGGAAAGGCAGGTCATAGAGGATGAAGTTCAAACTACGCCAGACAACCGCATCATCGAGCCCTCATCCAGCTCGTGATCATTTTCAGTTGTTCGGCAAAGAAACGACAGCGAAACGGCGTGTTTCTTCGTCGACTATCACAGGCTGAACTTGAGCACGAAGCGGTACGTGTATACCCACTTCGCTGAATCGACAACACTATCGACGCCCTCACCGGTGCTCGCTGCCTTAGCACCCCGGATCTAACCAGCACATGTTTGCAAATCAGCATGCATCCGCACGACAAGGGGAAGACATTCTGCACGCCGAAGAAATTCTACCAGTTCAAATGGATGCCGTTGGGTGTTGCCAACGTACCCGTGATGTTTCAGAGACTGATGGTTAAAATTTTTGAGCTTCTGAATTACCAAATGACTCATTTATCTCGACGAAATCATAGTTTGCCTATCTGATGAACATCCACGTGATCCACTTGCGAAAAGTGCTGGGGCGACAGATTCCGCCAGTTTACGGGTGACACAGGCAAATGCTAACTCAGGTAGAAAGGGCGCGCGAAAAGGTCGTCGATTGCGCTAGCCGCTGTTTGGCTGACGCCGAGGCTAAATGTCACTCTTCCGTGACCGAGCACATCGCGCGGTTGAAAAATTCCGGCCATATTTGTATGGGTTAACCGACAGCACTAATTATTTAGTATTAGATTAGTGGCACTAATGCACCTAAAGGAGAAGACGAGCCTTTGCTGAAGGTTAATAGAACGGGCTTTGAGTCTATAGGAGTAAGGCTTCGAAGTTGTCCACAAAGGAGATTCCACTAAAGCTAACGCGAATGCCTTGTTGCACTTGACCGTGTCGTTGGCACAAAGCAGTGGCCTAAAATTGAACAAGGTTCGAGGGTCGCAGAGGGAAGGCTTTCGTTCGGCTAAAATAATTAGAAAATTAGAAGGTGGATTTCGCGCCCAGTCTATGTGCTCAAAGGTGACCTGGCCTATTGTATTAAGGGAAAGAAAAGGTTACTCCGCGTTCAATTTTTTTTAAATGGAAGAAGCTATCAGCTTACGTCACACGGACAAAAGGAGAATGATGGCGTATATCGGTGGACGGAAGAGGTTGCAACGCGTTAATGAGTGTTTTTCTTTATTAGGACCGAGTTTATAAAATAGGTACTGGTCCGGTGTAAAGTTTGACAGCGGCGTAACCGAGACCTAGAGCGACGCGAAGCTCTACACCCAGTGCCACTCTCAAACGCCCCTTCCAGAAGGTGGGTTAGATTGTGTAGGCTCCCTAAAGGTCCAAGGCGATGAGGCTTTCTAAATTTTGTTGTTCATCGATTATTGCACCCGTTCTGTAAGGCTTGTGCCGGCCTGGAGAGCGACGGTGGATGTGGAGATCTGGGCTTTGGACTCTGTGCATTACCTTTTCGGAGGCTTCAGCGCCGTCATTACGGACAACGCAACCTGCCGCAAATCGCGGCGAGTTATTCAGAGGAACTACAACGGACGCATCAAAACGGCTGCCGAACACTTATGGTGCCGCAGCCTAACCGAATGTGTGATTCAAACAATGACGCAAAGGTTAGGTAACGAATGGGCATGGCTCTAACGTTTTGTAATGTCTTCCGCCTAGAACCAAATCAGCAGAATTTGTTTTTATCATTCTTATGCTTGGTTTCATAATTTACGTATCGTTCTTTTGCTTTCGCCCACTTCATGAAGCTAACACTTCAGCAGATTCGTGACTACGACAAGAATGTCCTACTAAGGACATACTTTTATGTAAGAAATATCTTAGTAAAGGTAGTTTGTACGGATGTCCGGATTCAAGCACGTGATTTATGAAAAAACCCACTGTAGAATTAATTTCCTTTGCTGATACCGCCCCCGCTGAACCTTGGGTGTATGGACTTCGACGCTCTCTGCAATTGATTATGTCTCCAGTTGCGGGTTCCTTTGGATGGAAGAGGATGTTCCAGTACTCATGCTTGGCCCATCAGGCTTCGAACTTCCGCAACTTTCACACCTAAACACCACCTTCCTAATTTAAAAATGAATAGCCACACTAGAAACGCTTCAGTTTTTACTGTGCAGTTTTTCGAATGCCTGCATGACCACTCACCTTCTCGGAGTGGCAGAACATCACTCTGGATTCAGTCTGGACTCGCACGATCGGCAACAGTGGATTTAGGTGTATCATCTAATTCGGTACGGAAGTTCGTTCACCAATATCTGCCTCTGCATTAAGTCTGACAATAAGGTCGTTCGGACAAGAGTCTGTCCGTTGCATTCTTCTGACATGATTACCTAAAGACCATCTTCCTCCATGGTGTGCACCATCAGTAGCGTTACACCTAAGTTTTTTTTTGTTCCGGACCACGGAAAGCGTACCAACGCTGGCTGCTGTTAGCACTAGTATCCTCAGCCCGAAAACGGCTCTATACACTACAGCCGGTAAAGAACGTTGATTTACTATGCATGCTGGGTGATCTTGTCGACGATTTAGCTTCAACTATACGTCGGTGCATCCGGTTCTTAAGAGCTGTGGAGTCAAACAGCGACGCGATAATGAGGTAGCTCACGAAGTCATCACACCGATGATTTGATGTTTTCTGGAGATACTTTGAACCTAACTAGAAACCCGATACGTTTCAACATTTCCATTTCCCTCCAATGAACGTGTAAGGGTTTTCATCATCTCTTCGGACCCGCGCATAACGTCCTGATGCATGAGGCGGTGCTCCTGCTTTCTGAGAGGTCGAAACTGCTTGAATAGACTAACTTTGAACTTTTCCTTTGTCACGGGGTTAAAACACAACGAATTCGGATTAGTATCTGACTGGGAATAACAGAAATCCACAAGCAAGCCTAGCAGGCATTTACGTAACTAACCGTAAACGCCTGTCGCTGTCTTCAACGTCCTAATTAATTGTCCAGTCGTTAAGAGTTGGTAAATTATACAACGATGCGACCCTTTTTTCATTATTCCACCACAGCTTTAACCTCGCAGCGAGGCTGGCCACTTCGTACATTCTTGGACGAACGAACTTTCTGTTCCGCTGTTATCACTAATTTTAGTGATAATATAGTGGAACCAAGACGAATTCGATTTATTCGCTCTACAACTCGTCCTTATAGAACAACCGCGACGGAAGTACTTAGAACTCGATTGCTGATACGCTCCGTAACGTCATATATATATATATATATATATACGTATATTAAATTACACAGGTTGTGTAGTATGTGCCATTAGAACTATATATATTTGTAAATATGCACGTATATACATTACTATAAATAGAATGGTATGACATCTGATTAACAGGCAAGGTGTTACAGAACGCCGTTGCGGGGCAAGAGAACTAATCCGTGTTCCTACCTGAGATGAATTTGTAGTATTTAATGAATTATGTTAACAACTAGTGACCTTTTCTTTATGTCTTCTAATGTACGGAAATCATTATTATTTGTTGAATCTTTATTTTTCGTAACGATGTAAATAACAATACTGAATATTTAAAGGTCAGAATCACGGTCTTTGATTGCGTCGAGCTACACGCTTTATAAAAAATACTATTTACATTTTATGATTTTATTAAGCTTTCACCCTAAAGGGTTCCCCTAGTTACAAGCTACGGTCTTCATTGGCTGTTCACTGTTCTTGAATAGTAAAGCTTAGTTTGACCTGAATCCAGATCGAGCCGTTACGAAATTATTGAGAGTTTCTAGTTATATACCTATTTTTGCATTCAAACGTATGTAACTCCTTAGGTTTTTACTGTTTTCCTCTTTTGCAAGACGGCTCCCTATGAAATATGCAATTCAAATTTTATATACGTTCTCTCTGACGTAAAAGGCCTTCATAACTAACTTCCATTAATTATCGCGACAATCGAGATGAACCCGGCGTCTGAGCTCCTATGAATTTGCTTTAAGGACCACACGTCCTAAAAGTTTCTTATGTTTCATGCTCAATGGTCGTAGTGCTTTTCGGATAAGGCGAATATGCGTATGCTAACTGTAGCCCGGAATTTTATAACTTATCGTTCTTATGCAGCTGGCGAACACATCTACCTAATTTTAAGTTAATCGCTACGTTAGTAAAGATCACGCTATAATTCTTTACTGTATTAGACGTTATAGTAATCTTGCGTTAAACGTACGTCAAAGGTGTTTGTTGAAAAGCCGTAACTATTTCCAGCGGTGTAGTAGGGACTATTAGAACATAATGCTAGAAACCAATATTGAAATATGCCTACAGCTTAAGCTAAAACTTACCAAATATGTATGCTAGCCGCTTCATCCTGAACATCTTCATCCGACAGGGCGCAGCGTACAATTGAGTTGCCGTCGATCGTAAAAAACTTAACGACCTTATCAAGGTTAATAAATAGACCCAGCAGCAGGTGTGTTTAAGTTGATGGTAGGAGTGTGGCCAGCAAGGCACATATAGCAAACGAAAGAAAACCATGGGGAAAGTAAAGACACTTGTGGTCACAGCTGGCCCTCATACGACTGGGGCAGGGGAAGTGGCGTGACCAAAGAAAATCACTAAGTTCGCTGCTGCTGACTTCCGCAAGATTGTTTTCTATCGACCGCTTTGACTATGCTTAAGCCGAAGGGTATTCAAGGTTGGAGTACAGTTATAACATTCAAAGAATTATCTTACCGTAGAAGCGGTTGGACGCAATCACTGAGACAATATATTGCTAGAATAGAGACGACAATTAATTTGATAACAAATAAAAGCATACGGGAAAACCGTTTCGAGTATCGATGTAAGAGGACAGGTATAGTTGTTAAAACTTGCCATTACTATGGCACTCGATGAATTTCAGTACCGATTGGTAGAGAGAAAAGCTAGTAAAAATCTGAATTCAAATTAAGCATACAGAAAAACGTTCATGAAACCAGAACTATTCAGCATATACCAACGACATTTCCAACGGATGTTGGTAATTGCTATAATCATTGAATTGGCATTGAATCGGGTAGAAAATCCCGTATTATCATTACAGCTGAATCTCTAGAGGTCAGAAACTAAGTATCCGTCATTTGGGGATCGTTTTCGGTCATATATGTGACTACGACCCTATTTACTGAAAGATGGGACACATTGTTTAGCATCCTCAGAGCAGTAGGTGCTTAACTTTTATAATAAATCTCTAGTTGTTTCAGTTGTTACAGTTTATTCCAATCAAATTATAGTTTATTGAGGAGCCGTACGCAAGCGTCACTTCAGCTCACTTCTATCCAGGTGATGCACGAGTCGATAACAGCTTTACTAATGTCATAAGAAGTAGGATTCTACGTTGGCGAACGCAGGGAATTCAGTCAGTGAAGTACTTCATAAAGAAAACACACAAGAGCTTGGTGTACGCCGCATACAATGGGAGCCGTTTTTTGGCATAACTTGGGCCGTCTAATGTGATTTGTCAACACTTCTATATTGGACTTTTTCGAATAAGAAGAGTGAATACTTTGTTTTTAAGAGAAACCATTCAGGAGACAGTTGTGCTTATATAAGATGATAGCTTAATAGTTACACATTGATTCTGACCCTAAATTACAGTTTCTACTCTCACTATAGCAGTGTTTTCAACACTTTAGAGGACTTACATTATTTCACGCAAGATACGCTTAAAAAAACATGTGTATGGTAAAATGTCGAGATCACTGTTTAAAGTTTCAGAAGTCAGCCTGGAAAATTCTCTAAGGATTCGACTTCATTCTGATACTCAGATAAAATAACTTCAATATATAAGTTATATTAAGGTGTTCTTTAAGCTTTTTCTTAAAAAGAACTTTTAAGCTTTTTACTAGGAGACATAAATGTAAAATCCTTCAAAAAAATAGCGAGAAATAGTAAAAGTCTGAAGATAAATTGGGGCAGTGTTATTATATACTATATTATATTATATATACTTCAACTGATTTAGATAACTGCTATCGAGCAGTAGTAATACCTACCTACCTACCTTATAAAAATACTGAATTTAGTTAAAAATGTGACCTTATAACTATAGACGAGCAGTTCTTAACAAAAGAGCAACAATCTAATATGTAAGAAGTGCTATCAGTAGATAAAAACAATAACCTTTGACCTTATTCGTTCCCAACCTAACGGCTCTTACCCTCTCAAGTTCTCTCCCTCCGTGTGAAGCTAAATAACTTCATGCTAAATATAAAATTATACGTAACGAAAAAGTAGCTTACGTTATCAAACCTAGTTTGCCCGTCTTCTATAGGGTCTAGTAACTATAAGCTATATGTACATCTAATGAAATCGAGTACTTGAACTTGGATGAGCCATGTTAGTAGTCATGATGATACTAAAAATAACACGTTGAAACAGCCGTAGATGGCTACCGTCTGCAGTCTGTCGACCACTGGACAGATTGACAGATGGGCGCCATGGAAAAGAAGACGATATAGGATCCGAAGTGGAGACTTCATTGTGGGACGAATACAATTGCATTGAGTACAAACGTTGACCCTTGCTAGTAATGTGCCATCTAAAGCTATACGCGGTTGTGCTTTTAATTGCTAGTTGTCTAAAACTAATTGCCGATCAACCGTATGACCAGTTGTGTTAAAAGCCATAGCTTACGCCAGCTGTAAAACATTACACTACGACAAAATCTGTATAGAGTTGCTTACTTCTTCAGTCTAGTTATTTTATTTGGTTCCTATTGATTTCAACATTTAATTTTACTTAGCATGGCTATATATAACTTCAGTTCCCTTCATATTCCAATTAGTCCAACTATGGAGTGCTTTTTCTTTTAAGTCTGTGCTTATACTGACGCAGTAAAGGCAATCACAACTACGACTCTACCCAGATAGACCTTTCTTTCCTCAAAGGGACTAGCAGTGATGGAAGCGTAGTACCTACAATAGGACAAAAATCATTCATCTCCTACAATACGTAAGATAGTGTAAGGCGTGTGCCATTAGAAGGAAAGATGTAGGATTTCGTTAGGACGATGTGCATGTCTAGTGGTGAATTTTTTTCGGATGGTAGTTGTTTACCGCATATAAGCATAAAAATAATCTTTTGTTCTGTCCTATGTAAACGTACGCGTGTGTAGTCTAAATGTAATTGTGTGTGTCTTTTGCCTATCTCTTAATGCTCGATCTTGAAGGCCAGCCAGTTGCTCGTTCAAAGGAGCTAACACGTTAACACAGGCTTAGTCATAGGTTAGGATGTTTCCAGGAAGAAATCTTCTTCGCTACTTCTCCGTTGTATTTTTTTTTGCTTTTTCTCGGCCTTTCTTGTACTCGTCAACCGCGTTCAACTGATATCCCCGAACACCCGTCATCCATCTCTATCAGTGCTTAGAATCGTTGTAGTCAGTGTTACTTCTGGCTGAGAAGTCGAGTGGTCGGTCCTCTTACGTTCGTTGCTTCGTAGGGCCTCGCCGGTTTGCCGGTCTGGCAGGCTACCAAGCCGCGGCACCAAGCTGGCGCTGGTGGTCGTACAGCAGCAAAAGTAGCAGCAGCGGCATGCTATCGTCGTAGTGACTATGGCAGCAAAAAATGCCTCTCATCTATATTCCATTTGGCGGCTTTGTCGATGGCGTGAGCACTCGACACCGCCAGCGGCAGAAGAGGCTCCACTGAGAAGGGCCGCGTTTTTGGCTGATCTTCATCGACATTGCTGTTTCAGTGCCACTGGGCGGTGGCAATGTTCGTGAAGGCGCCTACGAAGTCTGCAAGGAGCGCCTTGCCATCTACAAGCCGCCATCTGCCTGGAGACGTCCGTCTGTTCTCCTCGGTTGCTATCAGGAACCGAAAGGACGGCCGATGCCTTGGGCACCATTATTATCGTCTGCAGCGCTGGCACGCCCAGTACTGCGCATCCTATTGAGCCAAAGCAGCCGCCACCTGTATGTTGGCTAACGTCTATACGAGCAGATTGCTTCGTGTTTCTTAGCTCGTTCAACGTTAACACATCAATATGCGGCACGTCAGTGCACATAAATGATATTGTAATAGACATCGATTATTAGTTCGCTAAATGGTTGCATTTTATCTGTCATTATTATTATTAAAGTTAACATATGAGGCTATAATAAACAGATGATTTCCGACTCGGATGTCTGAGAAAGCAAAGGCAAGAATTCAGGTCGTTTCAAAACACCTCAATATTGGTTCACTTGTTGTACTAAAGTGATTGACATGTCGCTTTTAATCAAAAGAACCAAAAAAAAAAAAAATTTATATTGATGCAAACCTACAATAGAAGCTCAATTTCATGTTATTTGTGAAGATCGAATCCATCAAGAGTAGGTCTGAACGCCTTTATTATAGCAAGCAACGAGTGGAAATTAGTTCTTCCAATGCTGAAGTGCTCATCCTTTGAAAGTAACCATTTTAATGCATTTTATCAATAAAGCTGACGAAGTTGCTCAAATGCTTATTTAAAAGCTAAAACGACAGGTTGAAAACTGCTTACTGGACCGAATTGGATTCGGGCCGAACTGTCAGCTCTAGAGGAATTGTTCATGGTGTTATCTTGTTATCGTTTACATATCAGTACGTTAGTGCCTAAATCCGGAAGGCTCCTCATTGAGAGGGCTGGTATTTGATATATTTAGGTATTTTCAAAGGTGTCTTGAGGTTACTGAGCTTGATATGTACCATGGACGTAGAGCTGTTTAGCTTCAGTTTTCTAATGCGGAAATATTAGACTATTCCAAACGAATCCGATGGACCTTGAAATTGGACAACTTTTGAACTATGCACAGCTCACAGACGAAATTCTGCTAGTAAATATTTAAATACTTTGAAAACTTGTGAGGAAAAACCACTGGAATTTACCCGTGGAAAAATTAGTTCATAGGGAAAAACATATTCTAGTCCTGAAAATTAACGCTTATGATGAGGTTTTGTACCTCGAAGGCCGCAGCGCCGCGGAAGCCCATTAACGATCGATGAAGACACTAGCTTAGGAAGTTTTTGGTGACGGCGCAATAAGTTGACGATGCAAACGTTTCAAGAATAGAAATTCTGGTGTGAAAGAACAGCGAGGGGGTGATCAGATGTCAAAACCCGAAGGACGAGAATGCACTATCGGGAATTATTATTACTCGGAAAGGTTTTTACGAAAGCAGAGCTCGGAGTCTAAACGCCCTGTTGGCATTTTATATGCAACGTGTTATATAATTATAATCCAAATACCGGGAAAGACTGTGTAAAAATGTGTCTCCCATGAACTGCACTAGGCCACTTAGAAGGCGTTTAGTGTACTTCACGCGCGTACGTAGTTTTAATGAACAAATAACCCGCTTGGAGAACACGCCCATAGATAAGACATAGTTCAATCGGCAGCCGTA